TTGGTCTCCTTGCTCTGCAGCGACAGCTGCGTAGTCTTCTTCGACCTGCTTTCGGCATACCGAATCTGCGGATCAGGAGGACAATTCAATCAAGATATGTTTGGCAAACCTTGTACAAGTCGCACCTTTACAAGTATCATGAAAAATGATACAATGAAGAAGATGGCTCGCGGCGAGGCCGTCGATATCGCGTGGCGGGATAGCGGATACCGCTCGGCGCTCGCGGCGGTATCCGGTATCCGCTATCCTCCATGTCTCCATGTCTCTGTCTGATAAGCAGAAAGGAAGAAGACGCATACTCACACTCGTGCAGACGAGCAGGGCTCCCAGCAGGACTGCTAGCAGCCGGGCTGCTCTCATCGTTGATCTCTCTTTACTTTTGGCGAGGACTTTTGATGTGCGAGATCGACGACGACGAGATCGAGCGATCGACGGCGCGGTGTTCAAGTTCACCCAGAGCCAGAGAGACGACGCAGGAGAGTCGCGGTGTTTGCATGCGAGACATCCGTGCGCGCGCGCGCACGCGGTCTGGGAGAGATGTATCGCGTCACGTTCGCCGTGCGGAACTGAGGAAAACTGGCGGTTGGCGTACCTTGACTGGACGCCCGGCCTTTTTTTTCCACCACGACCGTGCGCCGCCGCCGCCGCCGCCGCCGCGTGTCTCGATGTCGAGGACGAAGAGGAGAAAAGACGTACGTGAACGTTTCTCTCCTCTACGTGCCTCGACAGCACGAGGAGGATGCGCGCTCCCCCGACTGCTGCGTAGCAGCGTCGTAGCGCGCGGGTGAACGGCAACGGCAACGGCAACGGCAACGACAACGACGACGACGACGACGACGACGACGACGACGACGGGTGAAATCGACGCGCGCGCGCGATATTAGACAGAAGAAGAGGAATCGTCGCTTTGTGCGCTCGGATCGAAGAACCTAAGTTGGTATCGTACGATAACGGTACACCACGATAAAAAAATGCCATTCAGGCCAGTCTCTCGACTGCAAGCGCGCGCGCGCCATAAGGTTGGACTGGCGCGCCGCCAGTCATCGAGCGTCTCGCGCGACACGTGGGAGACATGCGCGAATTTACGTACGCGTGTTTATCGCTTCGTCACGAATTTTAGCGAGACTGACCGCGGCAAAATATATTATCGTCCGTATGATCGTATGACAGCAAGACCCATCAAAGGGTATATGCAAGTAAGTATCATCGCAGTGACCAGCACCAGACGCGAGGAACTTTGAAGCGTTTAGCGGGATTTAATCACTCTGCTGGTAAAATCCACCGCAGCAACACGCGAGAAGCGCGTTGATGTGTCTGGAGAAAAAATTACATGCTACACTACATGCGCATACAGATATGAAGGAAATACGGAGTATATATTATAAAAGTACTCGTTCGGCTATCGCCAACGTCGCGGGCGACGTTCATTCATTGACTGTGCAAAAGCTGTTCAGCTGACGATACGATAAAGATAAATTGTAGATTCGACGTAGGGTCGACGCGGTCGGGGACGCGCGTACAATATTCTTCAAGACTAGATGACACCTCTCTTGTACAGGGTACAGGTAACAGGTAACAGGTAACAGGCAACAGGTTCATGTAGAATGAATTCTGAATGAATATGATATTACGGTGCTGACCATCGGTGCGGCATTCGCGTCTGTTTTCGACGCGAATGCCGCACGTTTTAACGATATCGCGTCCTTTTACCATTCGTCCTGAATTGGCAACCCTGTGTGCTATTGGCCTGGTTACTGATTACGCAGGGAAAATAACAACGCGCGGTAAGAGCTGAGGAATAGAGCTGCGTGCTTACGTAGAAACGTATGAGAAATTAGCCTGAATCGTAAGTGTCGATGAACGGGCACGGATCGTTAGCTGGCGCATCATCCATTCGCGCCGTATATTACGCGATGTGTTACGAAATTTTTTTCCCCACCGTAATAATGTTAGCCGCAATTCTCCCGCGGCCGCTAGAGCTGGCCGGAAAACCACTTACGATTCGCGAGCCACTTGAGAATATCACCACAGTCCACTTTAATACCCGTAGCAATTTTTCACTCCGAGCGAATCTCCGAGCGTTTATTTCGCTTTCCTCGCTTGCCGCGCTTGCATTATCGCGATTCGAAGTCATTGAGGAATTTGTATCGCGAACTTGTAGTGCGAGCCAAGGAAGAAAAAAGGGAAAGAAACAGGCTCGTGTGTATACACGACGTGTGTGTAAGCTGCCGCGTACGCATGTGCAGAGCACATGAACATGAACACGTTTTTCTTCGACAAGGAGTCGAGATCAACCGACGTCACCGACGTTTTATCGAGCGGAAACTTTCCGCTTTAACTTCCGACTTTGCGTACATATACCATACACCAGCGTGTGTGAGTGCAATATCACCGTGCCGTGATAGTGATATAGCACCAATACCGATAGAGAATGAGACATGATCATCATTTCACCAGAGACCTCGCCTCGTCTCGACCGATGTACGTTCTTCGACGATTCGTCGGCGTCGGCGAGCGCGTACAATCCAGGAATGTCGATCTCGAACGGCGATGACGTGCGATCTTACGCCTAAAATCGAAGGAGGACGACGAGGGAGAGAGAATGTGTTCGGGTTCGGTCGCCGCGATTCGTCGTTCGCCGATGAAAGGCAGGATGCGGCCGAGGGACCGGACGTAACGAGCCTGGCATACGCAAACAGTTCCAGAAACGAAGGAAACACATCTTCGTCGTCGTCGTCGTCGTCGTCGTCGTCGTCGTCGTCGTCGCGCTGCGGTGACTTGCACCCTGTCGCCCGATCAAGATAACGCCGCTGGCGCGCCTTCTAAGTCGACTGCTGAAACAGCCGTTGCAGCAATAGATGGACACCTTTTTAAACGAGGCGTCGCCTTTCGTGCGCTTTACGACGCAATTTTAAGTCTGATTCGCGCAACGCGCGCATCCATCCCAGGCGAGAACGGGCCAGGGCCAGGGCCAGGGAAACCCTGGTCGGTCGATCTTCCGTCACGATTATTTACACGATCGCTCGCTATTTCTATTCGCGGAATAAAATACATTTCGTCGTTCATTTTCATTCGCGCGTGATTCTGACGCCTGACGCGTGTGGCATACATAAGCATAAATTGCTAATTATCTTTCTGCAGGCTTTGGGGGCTTCGTGTATCCTTAAATTCATATTCATATTCGGGTCACACGTGACGCGACGCGACGCGACGCGACGCGACGCGACGCTGCGGTAATCGTATCGGTAGTTTCACGCTGATGGTCCAGAGTTAAAGCGCAACGTCATGCGTTAACGACGTTCCTTTCACGTCGATCCCCCTGCTGTGTAGGCTTGTGAGTTGACATTTTGGAACTGACTGTAGAGAGCCGCAGAGCTAATTTGGAAATGTTATAAATTTCAGACTTGAAAGTAGAGAGAGAGAGAGAGAGAGAGAGAGAGAGAGATGTGAATCGATGGAATCAAGCAAGATTGCTTGAAATTATATCACCCAAGTGATCAAGCAAACTCGTTTTCTCTCTCTCTCTCTCTCTCTCTCTCTCTCTCTCTCTCTCTCTCTCTCTCTCTCTCGTGTATCAAGTAATTGCTGTATTGCTGATTCTCAATAATATACTATATACGCCAGATGCATACGCTGCAGAAGAACAATGAGTGCGATAAACGCACTCTGTTGCGATGACACGTGAAACATGTTCTCGAAACTTTTGTCTTAGATTGCTGTTACCTTTTGACAGTTACCTTTTGATAATTTCGATTCCATTCCCTCGAACGCGGTTCTCTGGACTCACATCCAGATGTCACATCACATCTGGACATTGAGACAAATGTTGCAAATTATAAACAAATTATAACAAATACTGTACACTGTGTGTTTGGATCATCAACAGGAATCTTGGCTCTCATTGGCGCCGTCGATAAAGACGATGAAAATCGATTAAAATGATCATGAATTAACAGACATCAACAGACGTTGAAACTGAAAGAGATCTATGATACGCCTATGACTCTCGAAATGACTTTCTTTATCTCGATCTTAGAAGCAAGGGATACTGGCTCAGCCCGAAAATAAAGCACTCGGATCATATTCATCCTGAATCGAAGCATTCGATTCTGTCGACGTCGCATAATCGATTACGTCGCGTCGCGTCGCGTCGCGACACACTCTTACTCGCGAACAGTAGCTGGGGTAGCACACAGCTCGTACGCAGAGTTCGTAGACCCAGCTGAGGACATTATCTGACTCGTTCGCGAGCAACAGGCTCGTGAATACGTACGAATGTACTACGTGCCGCAATGCCGCGCGCGGCGCGCATCGCCGAATTTAAACATGTTTTTCTCATTCCTTGCCGAGCGAATAACCATAACCATAATAATTTTGGGAAAGTGGATCGCGCTGAGAGCTTCATACTATTAGCGCTCATGGTGCCATTTTTAGCGCCAGCTCTCCTTGATTCACCGACGGAAACGCAAATCCAGAGAGAGAGAGAGAGAGAGAGAGAGAGAGAGAGAGAGAGAGAGAGAGAGAGAGAGAGAGAGAGAGAGAGAGATAGAGAGAGAGAGAGAGAGAGAGAGAGAGAGAGAGAGATAGAGAGAGAGAGAGGTATCGCACGATTCACCTGCGCAATTATCGCAAACGCGTCATTAAGCCTCCCCACCTGTCCTCCATCTGGCACGCGGGGAAATTGAAAAATCGGCCCGTTCTCGTTATCGCTGCACTATCGTTGCGCTTTCACGCCGATGTACGATACCGCTACTACACTAAATAGCACGTACGACGACGACGACGACGACGACGAAAAGGAGGATCGGTTGACGATCAACGATTGACATCAGTTTACATCAGCCGGAATATATCGATCGTTATTGACGAAAAAGATCGTTCCCCGCCTCCTTCCCGTCCTTGAGCGATACACGTATACGTGCCGCGTACACTGCTGCGTGTCATCAGTTATTGAAACAATAGGCCGGTACACAGCCGCGCCGCATTCGGTTTCCTCCTTCGCGCGTCGTTCTGCGAGAGAGACGACTCCCAGGCTGCGATCAGACTCCCCTCTCTGTCAGTACGTGCTTTACCCTCGCGCGGATGACACTTTGTCTCTCGGCCGATGCATTCCCGCTCGATACTCCGTTTCATTCTCGAACAAACCATTCCTTCGAACTTGGAATCGATTCGCTCGTTCTCGATCTGCACGTTGATCTGCAGCAGTTGATCCCGTTCTCTTATTACTTGTACCTTTCTCACTTTTGTTTCCCGACCGAAATTATATTCATGTAAATACGTGCATGATAAAACTTGGCGGGACGAATATTTCTATTTTTCTCCTTTCTCCTGTGTATTGTCTATTTTTCTTTTCTTCTCTTATTTCTGCGATAAAAATTCACGGAATAGATCTGTGGCATCTGTGACTCTGGAAATGTCGGCGGAAACGTCGAGCGGTTTTCCCGTCGTCACAATTCGCGCAAATTTTCATAAAGGAACAAACAAAGGTGACATGTCGAGCTGTCGTGATATTTAAACCAGTACGCAGAGCGTGTCGCACGAGTTTGACGGACGAGGTGCGATTCAGTCAAGGGTTGACAAGGCGAGATCGTTCGCGAGATGAATGCCGAGGAAGTCAAAGTGGGCTGCTTTCAAATGGTGCTGGTGCTGCTGCTCGGAATAAACTATGTCATCGTAGCCATGAGCCACGCGCTGCCGGTCTTTCATAATTACACGCCGAACTTTTATTGCCAGGTAAGAAGTCGCGCACGAGAGAGGACAATTCACGAAATTGTTGTTTCATTCGACCGACCGATCCGAACGAACGAACGAACGAACGAACGGAATGAAATATTTGCACGTATGCAAATTTATCAATGCGAGTCATCGCTGAGCGATTAGCTCAGATCAGGCGCAAAATTAGTTATCGCGATATCGCGATCAATGGGGTGAACGGGCGCCTTATTATTAATAAACATAAAATAAACATGTCTTTAAACGAGCCTGTATTAAAGTTAAATTTCTCGCCTGGGCGAGGAGAAGAATGCATAATACGACAAAGAATATCATTATATCATATTTAGCAAAAAATGATCGTCCGAGGTAATCGTCGAGAGCTCGAGCGGGAATTAAGAAGGAAGTGATTAAAAGCTGATGAGAGGCGTGAGAGAGGCGTGAGAGAGAAATTGTGTGCGCGGGCAAAAAAATTTGTACAGGGTAGGGCGTGCGTAGTTAAGAGATGCGCACGATGCACGATGCAACGTTATGTCGCGGAGGAACCGTTTGCGTTTTGCAAATTGCAGACGAGGAATTCGACGACGAGTAAGAGCTACGGCTGCCAAGACGTCGCGAATTTATCGATCGATGCGAACGTAAGTTTCGCGTCGGCGGAAGTGTCAGCTCCCGCGTCCTGTTCCGGTGAGTATCGCTTTGTGACGGAGTTTACCGAGAGCAGCGTGGTCACCGAATGGAGCTTGGTGTGCGAGAAGCGGTATCTGTCTTTCCTCGGTCCGACCGCTTATTACACCGGGGTGCTCTTGGGTGCGTGGATCGCTGGACTTCTGGCCGATCGTATCGGCCGACTTCCTGTCCAAGCGATCTGCCTTTATGCGCAGGGCACGATGGCGGTGGCACTCTACGTCGTACAGGTGAGAGAGAGAGAGAGAGAGAGAGAGAGAGAGAGAGAGAGAGAGAGAGAGAGACTCAGTCGGAAATCGTTTGCAGTCGATGCTCTTGTCGATGCTACTTTCGAAAATTTCGGGAAAGTTGCTCTTTGGAGCAACTTCAATTTCAATCGGAGAGAAACAGCGTTTTCCTTCGCGGAGAGGGAGAGGAGAGGGATCGCGCGCGCGTATGCGAAAAGTGATGATTTTTTACGCGCGATTCTTTCTCATCAAGCAAGCCCAACTCTCTCGGACTCACGGACGAATTACTTCGCGGTTTTGGGGGCAGGGCGGATTGACTGCGAGAATGCAAGAATTTAAATTGGAAAACATTAGAGAGACCAGAGTGACATTCTTTACCTCGCAGAATTACCCCGCATTCCTCGCGCTGCGTGCTCTTCAAGGAGTGTTCGCCCAGGGCCTGCAAAACTCTACGTACATCCTCTGCTTGGAATTATTCCCAGCGCGATCCCGCACCCTCGTCGCGCTGATCATGCAGATCTCCTGGTCGATCGGTCTCATGCTGCTCGCGGTGCTCAGCTACGTGATTCCGGACTGGCGAATTTTGCAGTTGGCCGTCTCCGTGCCCACTGCGATCACCGTGTTGTACATTTGGTAAGAATGTAGAAGGCTTTAAGAAGATTTAGACACACACACACACACACACACGTGTATGTATGTACGCATGACTTTTTTACGCACATCACAGCACACATATTGAAAATTTACTTTTACTATGCTACTTTATTATTGTACTATTACGTACGTTTTGTATATTATATATTTCAACAGGATTATACCGGAATCGCCAAGGTGGCTGCTCGCGAGGGGTAAATCGACAGAGGCCGACATGGCGCTCGAGAGAATCGCGAAATATAACGGCTGCTGCTGCGGCAGGACGCGAACGGAGAACACGGCCGAACGAGGAGAGGCACGCGTGAGACGTAAAAGTAACACGACGCCGATAAAACCGGAAAGGAAGTCGCGCATGACCAGCGTCGATCTACGGAGAGCGAGATCCGATGAAAACCACCAAGAAGAAGAAGAAGAAGAAGAAGAAGAAGAAGAAGAAGAAGCCACGAATCTGTCAAACCGATCGGAACCAATCGAGCAAAAAGGTAAACTACACGAAGCAATAATATAATACGATCGATTCAGAGTCCTCTCTCTGCACGCGGGAATCAACTTTCTTTCTCAACCGCAGTTTGCAGTTTGGGAGCATCTCGTGCAATATTTTCGGGGGTTGGGGGGGGAGGGCGATAATTTTTTATTATTAGGTAATAAATTCGGCGAATCGATTCCAGAGATAATTTCTCGGGCGAATTCGGTGAGCGCCGAGAGCAATGTGGAATCACGCCGGGAGAAACGACGACGTTCCGCACAAGATTTCGATACGGAGAATCTGCCTTCGAGCTCGAGATGCGACAGAAAGTCAAAGGCGATCTCGCAATCAGGCCGCGTAATCGGGGTGCAACGAGTCTCCCTGAGAGCCGCAGAGGAGGTGGTGCTGCGTAGTAGAGTCAGCGTAGCAGAGAAGGAGAGAGTGAGCGAAGATGCAAAGAAATCGGCGGATCACGTCAAGGAACGAGCCGCGGGCAAGACCAAGAGCCCAATGTTCAAGGACTCGTTCAAATCGTCGACGTTGAGAAAATACGGCGCGATAATGAGTTGTCAGTGGTAAGACTGTTTTTTTCGTTTCGTTACCGAACATTCCGTTCATCCGGCATCTCTCTCTCTCTCTCTCTCTCTCAACATCTCCCTACTTTTTAAGTCGCGACAATTTTTTCAAGGTTGACATCTGCTATGGTTTACGGCATACTCGACGCCGATCTCGCGCCGAATTTCCCGCTCGACCGACACATCACGTTCGCCCTGGGCGGAGCACTGGAGATAGCGACGTACACGTTCGTCTATTTCATGTTGTCTAGATACGGTAGACGAGTGTCCATGTGCATGTACCAATCCCTCAATGGTGTCACTTGTATTTTAATCGCGGCATTGTTCATTTCAATCAGCACCACTGCACCGTGGACAGGTATGCGATGCACACACAAGTTTTTTCTCCGCAAAATCCGCAAAACTCGCCGCGAAAATGCGCAGTCTTTTAACTCTTCTTCTCTTTAGGTCTTCTTTTCCTGCCTTCCTTTAACTGTGCGGCTTTAACTAGATTACTATTGATTACTAGTTATTACCTCACAAACGGCGAGAGATCAGAGTCGAAGACTCACAGACGATTCGATGCTATTATTCGATGAATAATTAATAATTCCTTTTGCACTCGGATATGTCTACTCTGAGGAGACATTATAAGCGTCCGCGACTGGAGAAAGGGTTAAGTCTAGCTTTTTTTCACGTACTTTAAACGAATCTTAATACCTGAACGTTGTTACTTTGATCTTCTTGTATCGCTTCACCGAGTCACGAATGCACTTTCCATCAATGATAGATGATACGCACGACGTTCACACCATTTCGAGGACGAACCTCTTGACGAGGTGAAATTACCAGAGAGAGGAAAGCAAGAAAGGAAGGAAATAACAAAACAAAAAGAAAAGAAAGAATAAAAAAGGAGAAAGGGAGAATTTTGTGGAGAATCGCGCTTTCTTTACAAGTGTTTCAAGCCAGCGTCAGTTGATCAGTCATTTAATTTCGAATTGAGATGCAAGTTCAGTCGACGCGAAAAAAGCGATCTTTCTATGCTGTCTCTAGGAGAAGATAAAACGGGCGAGGCTAGATACATACGTATATATTTGAATGACAAGTTATATACTCTTGTTTCAGATCTCGCGAAAACAATAATAGTGCTATTTGGCAAAATGATCGTCACGAGTACCATCTCCATCGCCTATCTATATACCGTCGAAACGTTCCCAACGGTGACACGAGGCAGTTGCTTGGGTTTGTGCGTGGTATCTGCGAAAATCGGTAGCCTGAGCATGCCGCATTTGCTGTTATCGGTACGCTGTAGATTCTTCCTCGTAAATGTCGCGAGCGCTTTCTGTTCATTTTTAAATGCGCGCTGTCTTTCTTTCAGCTCGCGCGCGCGACCAGCCAATAGAAATTGCCCGAATATTTAAGTTGCAAATGATCTGTTTATTACAGGGGCAACATGTGCCACTTCCTGCGCCATTACTAATCGTTGGCATATTGTGCCTTGCCTCCGGTGCTCTGGCTCTGATCTTACCGGAGACACTGAATCGAGTTTTGCCGGACTGTGCGGCCGACGCGGAAAATATGCTCGGCGACTGCGGCATCGACGTAGAAAACGACATGTGTAAGGAAGATTTGACGGAGAGGCAGATACTGAGGGAGAAACTCTTCTCGGAAGAATGGGTGGACGCCGGCAATGGGATTCTCGTGAATTTCCCGGAAAATAAAAGCACCGAGTAACGAGTGAAATCGAGACGACTTTGCGTGCGAAACTTCTCATAAAGTTAATCGACGTTACCAATCCGCTTAATTCATACGAAACGTCGTCCGATTGCCGGTGCAAAAATGTGCACGGTAAAAGATCAGTTTATTTTTGTTAAGTGGATCGATTACTTATATACTTTATAAATATCGTATATCGTATAAATTGGCGATATATGTACTATTATATTTACAACAATAGTATTTATTTTAATGTTGCGCGTACAGAATGTAACGTAAATATATTTAAGAATAAGAGAAAATCCAGGATGACTAAACGGCGGAGACCAGACCCACGCCTCCATTGCGAAGCGATGTATGTAACGCATGCGACGCGGATAACTTTTGGAACTTAATGTAGACATAAACGCAATTTGGAAGCTACTTATGTGGGAGTTTGTTGAAGTATACGAATAACTGTTCAGTTCTATCATATTTTGAGAGATTACGTCTAAGTATATACATAATATGTAACAATTGATGTAACAAGACTGAGCGTTAGAGAGAAATAGACATTTTCAATGCAGATATCACCCTTTCTCAATTGTATTTTTGAAAGCTGAAATGAGAAACATGAGAGACAAGAGCCATGACTTGAGGTAATGATGAAAAAGATAAAAAAATGTACTTCATTCATGAGTTATCACAGTCGAGCAAATCAGTTCTCACAAGAGGAACCATCGTACATACATTATATATATAAAAGGGAAAAGGAAAACGGAAACGGATGTCGAGTGTCAACTCTATTTTTTAAATATGCTACGCTATCGAGATGTTTAAGTTAACGACAAACATCATTAAAGCTACAAATTCAGGGAACCTTAGGTTGCGCGATGCCATTGTTCTGAGGATTGACATGTTGCGTTTGCTCAGTGGCCGTTTGCAGAAGTCTGGTCCTACGTCTCGTATAGTGCTGCCACAATAGAATCTGTTGATCGTCGATGAACTTGGTGCATTGAGAATTCACGACTTCCCGTCTAAAGTGTTCATACTGCAGCAAATCCAGGAAGTACAGGCACATAGGATATTTCAAGTACTTGGCATACTCAGGTTCCTTCCAGTATAATAGATACTTCAGGTAATTGATGAATGGTACCTCTTTAAAGTAGCCACGTTGCGCTAAAACTGTGCATGTACAAACGATATGAATTAAGAGGATTCTTTATTGCTAAAAGTGCCTACAGAATAATAAGATAAATCAAATGGTGTCTGCACTTACAATTGAGATAATTCGGATTGGCAAGACATTGTACAAATTCTAGTTCGATCTGGAATCGTAAACGTTGCTGATCATCCGTTTCCGGTGCCCCTGAAATGCAAAAATTCCAAGTTGTTACACTTTGTTTTATTCAGTCACAAAGACAAAGAAAAATCTATTAATTAACTATGACGCTCAACTGTAACTTGTAATTACAAGAGATTAATCGCTGTGTATTATTAACGTTTGTATCGTCGAATGAAAATATTTTACTCAATACCAAACAAGAGATACTTAATGTTAAAAGAGAAAGAAAAACTCTCTTTTCTTAAATTAGTTCTACTAATTTAAGAAAAAGCTGTAGTCGCAAATTTGTAGCAACCGAGAGTTAGAGTTTGTCAGGTTAGGGTCGTATAACCGCAAAAAAAACGTACCGTTCATCCCAATAAAAGATGGTTTTCTGCCTTTCATGAGTCCCGGAGGATCATCCAATCGATTCATAGTACATCAACTTTCGCAAGTCAGATATTCTCGATATGGAATTTATTATTGCTGCGCCCAAAGAAGAAAAGCAACCTTAATGCACAAATAATAGCAAGTCGCAATTCGCAATTGCCACCATGCCACTACGTCAACGTCAGATCAGACTTCACTTCAGTTCAGTTCGGTATATGGCTTTAGATAGAAGGGTGTACCCATACGCCATTCTCCTTCAGACATCACTTGAATCAGAGAGAAATCTGAGAGCGGCCACTGGACCAGTTACGCCGGGACGCTTTCTCCGACGCGCCCTCTGAGAAAATGTGTGCACACTACGCCCGTCCTGACGATAACGGCAAAGCGTGCACGCTGGTTCTTGGTTGTGGCTCTATTTCCTTCAAGCGTGGTCTACAATGGCCGTAAGCAGTAAGAAGAAAGCGTGAACAGTAAGGCCCCTTGCACAATGCCAGGCAACAAGCAATAAGAATAAAAATAGACCAATCACAATCGACTATTACAAGAATAATCTATTGTGATTGGTATATTTTTACTCTTATTGCCTGTTGCCTGGCATTGCGCAAGGGGCTTAAGAAATGGACCAACCACAGTTGATTATTTTTGTATACCCCCTGTGTGTGTGTGTGTCAGCAGAGACTATGCAGTAGTAGTGCGTCGATTTTTAACTGATACTTTCCCAAACCGATGGATAACAAGATGTGGAGAAATAGAGTGGCCCTCTAGATCACCAGATCTTTCTCCATTGGACTACTTCTTGCAGGGATATGTTAAAAACAATGTGTACGGAACGAAACCTGCTAACTTGGCAGAACACATACTGCACCAAGTAAATCTTATTTCACCAGAAATGAGACGAAACGTTTTAAATGAATTTCATCTACGATAAGGTTATTGTCAAGCAACAGACGGAAGACAATTCGAACACTAAATTCAATAAAAACCCGTCTACATACACACGCGCATGCGCGCGCGCGCACACATACATAGCAGAGAGGGTTTGGAGTCATTAAATACTGCGGTAGTGACGAATCGCGGAGGGACGAACCTTATTTTTGCTGACATATAAATACGCACACACACAGGAGGGAGGGGGTGTAAAGTTCGACCAATCTCCACGCGGTACATCCTGAATAATACTAATGCTGGCGGCACCGTAAATTCTAAAGCTCATAACTCAGACAATTCTCAACAAAAATAGGTCATCAAGTAGTGTTTTGAAAACGGCTCGTTGTCATCTTTAACACTGTGTGATAAAAAGTTGGATGTTCCGTTTAAAAAAATAATGTTGGCATTGAACTCGCCTTGACTCCTCTATTCAAGGTCAACCGGATATGATCGTTCAATAGAACTTTTAAAACCCTACAACTGTAGTTGGAAACATTCTTCTTAAAAATGTTTCGTTTTCGAGGTATTTGACCGTTTCCAGACTTTTCTAACTAAAGTGATATGGTCCATTATCGATGATTTTATTAAAAAATTTTTCGAACGAAAGTTGCATGGCTTGCGAAGGATGACACATGACAGAAATGTGGACTTGACCTTGAGTGACCTTGTCAAAATCAGGCCAAGGTCATTAATGTTTTTTTAAATAGAAACTACTATTTTTTATTACATATTCTTGTAGCTTATCTCGAGAGCTTTCCAAAATACTCTAACAAAGTTACATTTCATCGAGTACTTTCCGAGTTATGAGGCTTGAAACTTAAGGCAAAACCGATCACTGATCCGACCAATTAAGGCAAGATCAATTCGAATATGTCTTTAGCCGTTAATAAGTCTTGGCCTTAGAAGTACGAAATAAAACCTCCTTGCTTTTATTACAATATCCTGTAAGTTAACAAATATTCTTCACACATACAAACATAGTATTATTATATTTTTATCGAGTAGTGCACTGAACAACCATGACATTGTTCTGAGAATTTTCTCATTTAGAGCGACGAAACAAATATATTTTATGAATCATTTTTCGCGCAGATAGAAAATTTCACGGATGTAATTGTTTTTGGAGATTATTTAATACTGTATGAAAAATATTTATTAACTTACAGGATATTGTAATAAAAGCAAAGAGGTTTCATTTCGCACTTCTTGATTCTGTTACAATATTCTTTTATATTTCACACTACATCCTTGAATAACTTAAAATTATTCTTAAAATATTATTAAACAATTCAATAATCAAACGTGTGAACTTGCCCGACTCCGCAAAATAATTAATAAAATGTATTTCATTTTCTTGGCGCCAAATATTATCAATACTCTTACAAATAATATTACAAATGATATAAATTTTTACAAATAAAATTTGTAAAAATTTGTATTGTTTGTAACATTATTATACAATTACAAATAAAATTACAAATAATAATATTACAAATAATATATATTACAAATAATAATATTATTAATAATAAAATATTATTTATAATAATTTCGGTGCGCCGAGTAGACAAAACTTTTCAGTATTGTCATAGAGAGGAAAGGAGAGAGAGACAGTCGCGCCCGCGATTCAGATTATGGGCAAGAAAGAATTAAGCTAAGACTCCATGCATGCGGTGAGCTGCGGCAAATGCTGCGGTGACCAATCAGGAGGGAGGCGCAAGTCCGGTTGCGGCAAGCTCCGGCATGCGTCTGTCTCCTGATTGGTCACCGCAGCCGTTTGCCGGAGCTCACCGCATGCATGGAGTCTTAGCTTTAGGCTCGCTCGCTGAGCGAGAACGACAGCGACAAGGAGGGAATGATATTCTCTCTCTTTCTCTCTCTCGCTCGCTCGGCGCGTCGACGATTGCTGATCGCGTGGCTCACACGGATAGACCGAGCCGGCAGGATGCGTGCATGGGGAGGGAGGAGGGGAATCCTCGTGCAAGCCCGTCACCAAATTCGCATCACTGATACCAATGATGTCAAAACCGAACAAGCTGCGGACAAGCGTAACTTGTAAATACCGGTATACGTGTGTACGTGTGTGTGTATGTGTACACGTATGTACACGTACAATTGCGATATACACTCATCATGTTAGCATTGATCATTTTCATTCATGCTAAAAGAAATAAGTATGATTATGTAAAGAATTTGTCTGCGTATTATTATACATTCTACATAGTTCTCCCTGTGATAGTAAAAATAACACACTTGAACAACCTCTACGCTCATATCACAAAGCCTGATTCACTGCGCTACTGAAGCAAATTGGTAATTCTTCTGCTGTAACGACATTAACAGAAAAGACTAAACTTCAAACTGTATTTCTCAAAAACGTTTAAGACTTGCACCGTTTTTGGACAGCATTTGTTACTATTACATCAATATTATACTTTTCTAAAAGCAAAATCGCGCGGTGATTTCAAGGATGAAGATTCCTCTTGTGTGAGATATTAATTATTCATTCTTTATTAATGGGAAAAGATTTTCCTTTGATTTAAATGTTCAAGAAAAGTTATTTGTTCTCTGAGAATCTTTCAATTTTTATGTTCGTGAAAAGTTTATAAAATTCGTAAGGAAAAAAAATTATTTTACTACCTACCTGTTCAAGAGTTGCGCATAAGAGATATTTTAACAAATCTGAATCTGAATCAGTCAACAAATTAAATTTTTCATTCAAAGAAGCATATGTAGGGTAAGCATAAGTAAGATAAGTATAAATAATAAATTAAATATTATTCTCTGAATATAATAATAAATATTTTTTTCTTTAGCTGAATCATCGAAATAAATATTCTATTATAAGTTGACTTTTCGGATTACAATATTAATTTGATTTTTCAGAGTACGCTTTCAAATTGACTCTTCGGAATACGCTATTAAATTGACTTTTCGGAGTACACTTTTGAATTGACTCTTCTGACTACACATTTGTTAGTTGACTCTGTGGAGTACATATTTTTTAATTAACTCTTCGGAGAGAAGAGAAGAGAAACATTTTATAATTTATTTAAAAAATTGTAATTTTTGCAGAAAACTGATTGATGAAGAAAAAAATTAATTCACGACCTCAACGAAGATCTTAAGTAAATTACTGCAAGAAATGAAGTTGTTGTTATTATATACCATATTGTACAATATTAAAACATACGCGCAATAATTATCTATAATTTGCATATATGGGCGTTTATGTAATTGTAAGTAATATAAAAGTCATGACAAATTAATATGGCCGCGCGTTATCTCTGTCGCATCATTGCTAGAAATCGTCCGAACTCTCGAAATTATTTTCTTCCCGAATTATGAATATAAAACAATGTGGAAAGGAAAACAAGGGGGCGAGAGGGGAGACGGCGACGTCTGCCTTACGATAACATCGCAGCTGTATCGCGATTCTGTAACTCGTTATTGGAGTTAACGACACTTTCGTTATCGTTGCGCAGCTTTTGTATACCGTAGAAAAGCTGCGCAACAATAACGAAACTTTCGTTAACTCCAATAACGAGTTACAGAATCGCAGCACTGGCTCGCTTCGTCGCGATTGTCTATTCGCTGGTGGTGAGACAAAGACCGATTCTTCGTTTTTATCTAACTAATCTAGCTCGCTCGTGAACATAGCACAGAACAGAACCAAATAATTATGGACATAGCACGGAATAGTATCAACAAATCGTGGACATTGGCTTAGTAATTCATGTCCATGAAAAATGGACCCAGTTGGCGCTTCGAATCAGCCAACTTTTCGATAACGCTGTAGTAAATGCAGCTATGCCCGCTCTCAGGCTTCTCTCTGCCTTTATGCAAGAGTGTGTGCTTCCCGCTTTATCGTCAAGACGGTATATATATATATATACATATATATATATAGTATACTGTTGTGCGTAGTGTGTGCACATTGTCTCAGGGGACGCGTCGGAATTCGGCAGAAAAAGCATCCCAGCGTAATCGGCCCGATGGCCGCTCTCAGGTTTCACTCTGCTTGAACACAAGTATATCGATCGCAGCGCCACAGTTAATCAATCAGAGAATTAAATTGGTGAGATTTTGCGTGATAAATAAAAAGTATGCAAAAAGTCTTGAAACAAATAAAGTCATTGTACATTTATTTATAGATAAATTTATCACATTTTCATAAATAGCTGAAATATCTTCATGTATCGCTATATTATATAATTTCAACTCTGACGGAAATGACACAAAAATTATTATAAAAAGTTGCAGTACAATTTAGAAATTAAAATTCTATTAATGATCCATTTATTACATCGGCGCGTATGTACACGTACAATAACAATTATTTCTACGGTCGTTGCGATAGAATAGATAATGGAAATTTCATTGTTTCATGCATATTCAGCGAAGAGTTGACAATTTAATGAGGCTGTTTACAAATCTAATATATAAAACGAATTATATACTGTCAGTAGTAATAATGATAATAACTCGAATGAAAGGGAGAAGAAAGGAGGAAGAAGGAAAACGAGAAAGAAGTACAAAATAATAATTCACTACACTTGAGGTAATAACAGATTGAAACTGATGATTACAAAATTTGTAATTGCAAAGGATGAAGCTTGACTTGTTTACGAAGGAGATACACGCATAACGATATAAATCCATTTCATTCGCGTCGCAGTCTGTTTTATGCCTTGAGATAGAAACTATCGCTTCCTTGCATTTAGTAACATTTTAGACGCACGAGAAAAAGGATCAACGACAGGTTTTGCAGGTTTTGAAACAACAAAAACGTTTGACATTTATATCGTACACATAAAAATAAAATTTCATCTGTTATATGCGAATACGATAAGAAGGTGAGTGAAGATTCTCTTGTCGTTTTCGATTGTTCTTTATATGAAATTCATTTAGAAGATTTATAATATGAGTTTTGATGGAGTATTTTTATCGTATTTTGCTTATCAATATCATACTCAGTCAATATCAGATTTCTTAAAATTTAACATTTTTCCACTTTGCCATTTTTTCGATTGCAATTTACGAATCATCTGTTACATTGTCCTCTCGTGTGCACGCACGCACGCACGCACGCACGCACGCACACGCGCGTATATTCCTTTCACAGTAAAGTACAGTAAACACGCCCAAATCGCTGTGAAACTACGCATCTGTCATTGTCACATAATTACCAACGATATCCAAACGATATCGGTGCACATTGTATTTATTACTTTACTATATTATTTACTATTATTCATATATGTGATGGACAAGTGTGTGTTTAAATAAATATTTGAAATATTAAGACTGAGAAGGCTGTTGCAAAAACGAGAATATAACGCAGTAATGCTAACACGCTACGCTATCGCTATTTATGGAGCTCGCTATCACTATTGCGTTACTAATTCCAGTTAATGGGTAGTTTTGGAAGCGTTTGAGTTAGTAACGTCTATAGTGTCTCCCTGAATGCATTCATGAGTATATACCAGTCATCTGCACTTCATAAGTACATATCAGACATATACCAGTCTCTCCTTTTTATGAATTCAGTTGTACCATAGTAGCCGCCTGATATTCCTGCGATTGTTAACGTCGTACATCTGTGTATACTTGCCGGTGAATTTCAAATCGGATTGACCCTTTTTTTTTATTTCCTTTTTTAATTACGATTAATTATCAATCACACATACATGTGCATGTGCGCGCACACTCATACGCATACGTCCTCTATAGTAGTATTTCTATTTCTATTTCAATATTAAGCCAAATTATGACACAATATTAGTTTAACTTATACATCATAACTTAATATTTGAAAACAATTACATAGTACATGTTAGTTAGCCACTTGAGGCTAGTGAAGTAATTTTAATTTTTTCATTAAATTTTCTCATTAAACTTTGTTGAATACGAGTAATGTAAGTGTCGCATTGAACAATTGTTAAATTCAACAGTTCAACAGTTGAGAAAAGATTGGCAACATCATGTCTCTGAGCAAAGGAATATCCTACGAGGAAGAAAAGAGAAAGAATCCCGAGCTGAAGGATTCTGACGTACAAATATTGAAAGATTGGTGCGCGAAGCAACCGCATCTACCGAAAATCTCAGACAGTCAGTACGCGTTGTTCTTGCACAGCAATTATTATCGCATGGAACCGACAAAGAACACCATCGAGGAATATTACACATCCAGAACTCATCTGCCGGAATTTTTCTCCGATAGAGATCCGCTTGGAACGAAGAATTTGCGAGAGGTGTTCAAAGTCACGTAAGAGTTTCCAAATAATTTTAATTATCGTGCGAGTTACACACATACAGTACAGACACACACTTTATTTGCATTTGACTACGACTTTTCTTTCGACGTTGAGTCGAACCAATTACAAATATATCGCAATAGAATGTCGATGTCTGATAAAAATTTGTATTCCGTAACGTTCGAGAAGTAAAAATAAACAGACAATAAAAACTGTCACTGTAATTCAGAATCTGTTATCAGGTTTAACGTTTCTAATTCTCCCTCCCTCCCCCTCTCTCTCTCTCTCTCTCTCTCTCTTCCTCATTATAATCATACTGATTGAAAGTACCAATGAAATTACATCGCGCATAACAATTTAATTGCATGCAGTGAGTTTTCTTCTTAAGAGACGAGCGCATTTTTCAGTAAAAAATCAATCTCGTCAAGCGATGCGATTCATTAGTATATTATGCTTAAACACATGAATCTTTCTGACAAAGGGCACAGATAACATTGTCAACATGGACGAAGGATGATTACAAGATTGTTTATACGAGGCTAATAGATTACGATCCATCGCGCTTTGTCCACAACGACGTTTTAAAATACTTCACCATGGTGACAGACCTGTGGTTATATCAGGAGGGCACCGCTAAAGGCCACGTGATTGTCATTGACATGGATAAAGTTACCTTTGCTCACGCCGGCCGCCTCAGTCCAATATCAATCAAGAAGTTTCTTTATTATCTGCAAGAGGCTATACCAATCAGACTCATGGGTCTACATTTTATTAACAGTAACGCAGTTATGGATATTATTTTGGCGATGATGAAACCATTTATGAAGAAGGAATTGATGGACATGGTGAGAACAGATATCGTACTCTAAATTCGAGACTAAAAATTCGGGAGGATCTTCGAGAAATCCGTTCGATTTTTCGAGTGAATTTTATTCGCGCGAGTCTCGTCTGTGACTTGTTGTTGTTTGTCGCAAATTTGAGAATAATTTGAGGATATCTTTGTCAAGAAATTTATATTCCTGAACGAAATCTCTGTATTATTCTGTATTATTCCTAAAATCGATATCCGCTCATCGATATCCACATCAAATATCTCGTGTGTAATTTGTTCCTTTTGGTACTTTCACAGTTGCATATTCACACCACGAACGATACAGTGGAGAAATTTATACCGGTGGAAGCGCTTCCGTGCGACTGCGGAGGAAAGGGCAGATCGATAAAAGAACAGCAGGAGGAACAACTAAAAAATATAGTGAATTATCGCGAGTGGTTTCTGAAGGATGAGGCCACGGCTCGTGTGAACGAAGCCTTAAGAGTGGGCAAAAGCAAATCGGCAACGGATCTCTTTGGCGTAGAAGGAAGTTTCAAGAAACTCGAAATAGATTGATTCGTCCCAATCTTTTTACACAGGATACTATCAGCAGCTATAATTTCAAACATTATTCGAAATATATTTAATTGTAATATAGCTTTTGTCTATAAATATACAATTTATTATTTATCACGCATACACACACACACACACACACACGAAGAATAATATACGTATCATTTTTTTTTTTTGAATAAACAAAAACTTAGTGTTTTGCTGGTTACGCTGGAGGAACAAACGGAGGTAGCAAGTGTAATAGCAAAAATTCGAGATTTATCACTTCTCTCAATCGTGGTTTATCTCGATCGATAATATTCTTGCGAAAGAATCCCAAGTTTAGATCCCGATCGAAGTAGACAGTCGTACGATACGGCTATTATATGAATATTTCGATATGATATGGCAAACGAGAGAATAGGTGTGCTTTTTATTCGTATTATTCATCCATAGTCATTATGGATGATATCCACAATGACACTGGACATTTGCGTCTGAGAAAAAAGAGAACTTGTGCAAAACTTATAAAAAAGTTGTCCGATAATCTTTGTTACAAGAAAGAAAAAAATAGTGTATGTGTGTGCAACGTCCTTGTATCGACGTAACATAATAATATAAAGTCACGATGTCATCTCATTCTACAAATATATGCGAGAAAATAACAGTCGATGCTGCATACAAGCTACATCTTACGTAAGCGTAAAACACTACAATCTTGAACTTCGAACCTCTTAATTGCTATAATCTTGTAGATATACGTGTCTAAGCGCATCGTCACGTGAAAGAATGAAAAAAAGAGTGAGACTGTGCAGTTTAAATATATTGATAGAATATGGTTTAAACAATGCGCAATTTTAATAGAGGACCGACGACGAAAGAATACTACGGCAAGGAAAGAGGAGAGAGAGAGAGAGAGAGAGAGAGAGGGAGAGATCAAACGAAAAAATATAAATCGCTTGATATATTTAAATACAACAGATATATTTAAATTCAGTGTGTTAAATTGAATTGAGACACCAAAAGCTTTGATAAACGAATGAAGAGAATCACCGAAACGGCTGAAGATGGAATAATGCTACAGCAGAACGATAAAATAGAATTTGCATTTACAGAGTTTTAGGTAGTATTTAGGTATTTATGCTGAAGGTGGGCCACTTTGCAACTTGTAGAATGTTCGACGATTCAAGGTCTAGATACGTGTACGGCGAATAAGAAACACGCTGCTGAAAAATTAGAAAATTGTAGAGAGGATGGCAGAGAGACATTGGCAAAGATCGAAAGGAATCGCTCTGTTAATATGTCCTTTTCAAGATTTGAAATTTAATTTGAAAACATATATCTTGAATTGGTAAATCGAAAGAATAAAAATGAGAAATGAAAAAAGAATAAAAACGACAAAATGTGTGCCTCCAGATATTAATCCTTGAATAATGCTAAAAAGTACAGTTGAAAGATAGAAAAAGATAGAGAAAGTAATATAGTATGTGTAATAGTATGTACAAAGTGAAGATTTGTCGATAGCGATTTAGTAGAGAAGTGGACGAGAGAGAGAGAGAGAGAGAGAGAGAGAGAGAGAGAGAGAGAGAGAAGAGAGAGGGGGAGAGGAGGAGAAAGGGAAAACTAGATTGAACGAAACGTCACAATTGAAACGTAATTCTTTTGCTTGTTAAGAGCAACTTATAATTTAGAGTACTGAATGTTCTACACAAATATAGTAAAATATATTAAAGCAACGTGTAAGAGAAAAGGAAAATCCAAGTACAAAGTATGCCAAAGTCAAGTAACAAAAAGGCACGAATGATCAGTTCGAAATAGATTAAAGCATCGAAGGAAATCAGAATGATACTATTTCTTGCAACAACAATATTTATGATATTTACATAATACATCGATTAAATCGAATCAGGTTCTCGTCGATGATTACGTACTCGAACGTCTCGCGCAATCTCTGAACGACAGTAAGGAGCAGCTTTCTCGACGTTTCAAACGCTCGAGTGCTCTCCTCTAGAAAGTGTCAGTGGCTAAACGATTGATTTCGTGCGTGGCGATCGTGCTAGTGTGCTAAGTTTCTATGAGGTTTATCACAAAACAAATTCACACGCGTGAGTAACTCGTATCATCAAAAAGTATTGTTTTCAACTTTTCCTCTTTAAATAAAAATAATATTAAAATTTTCGAAGATATCGCTGTTTACGCTGTTTATAGTGGAGAAAATATGCTATTTGGTATGCTACTTGTGGAAGAAAAGTTAACGGTAACAAATGCCAGTGATTTGATTAACCATAAATTTAACTTGTACAACAATTAAAAAGTATATTGTCGATTGCTGTGTAATAATGGAAAAGTAAGAAATGGGAGACATGGTTTTGCGTGAATTAGCGATGGGAAGTAGAACGCACATCCCGTGCGTATAGCGGCTTACGGTTTACAAAAACAAAGTATACAGCATGCAACATATAATTGAAATTAACCTAAATATATGGACGAAGAAAAAATGAAAGGAGAAAAGTGTTTCAGACACACAATGGGACACAGTGTAATTGACTTGATCTTCAGATAGAGTGTCAGAGCGAAATAAAGGTCAGATAAAAGTCATATCTTTTACTAACACCCAGCCTTCTGCTGCTCTTTTCATTCACGAATTCAATAACCACACGCTCAAAGTCAAATTCAAAGTCAAATGACAATTGGCAGACAGATTTTCATCTGCTGCAAACTTTTTTGCAAAAATCCAACAAAATGAAGAACGTGATGGAAGATTCCTCTCAAGATGCGCAAACAAATTATTGGTCTATCTGTTCACCAGACTTCAGTCAGATGTCGGACAATAGAAGAGAATGCTTGATTAGAGACGCTTGTCTCTCGGTGCAGTGTTGATGGGGATATACTTTGTTGAACGCTCACCAAATCAGCGTATTCCAAAATGCATCGACGGTCTCACATCTCTCATTTCGCGAGCATTTAATGAAACAAATTCGACAAAATTGAAAATTATCTTGTTTATTATCATTTCAAAATTCCGTTTTCGTCAAACGACGTTTTCCAATGGGGCCTTGAGTCAATGCGTTGTCATGCGTTGAATTTGTCATGAGAAACAGACGTAAATGTTTAAAGTATCAAGGTCCCGTCAAAAAAATATAAAATGACTTTCATTTCACCTTGACACCTCATCTGAGAGTCATACTCCTTTGAATAGTTGAATAGTTATACTCCTTCGAAAGCCTACAACTTTACTTTATCTGAAACATCTCTCTTTTTGCGCTTTGCTCCATTTCTTTCCTTCGTGTTCTTTACATTTAGGTTTACGTCTCAATTTAAGTGCCACACCTTGCAGAAATAATCGGTAGCTATCTTTTGTGCTCAGCCAATCTGAATTTTTTTGTTAAGTATTAATCACGATGAGACGGCAGAAAGACGTCGCGACTGATATGATTCCTATATCTTCCTTTGACTTCCACTGACTTCTCTTGTACCGTGTTATCATTATAAATAATCGTGTTTGCCAGTAGGAAACGATATGGACGAGTATGTCGCTTATACACACGGTTGGTACGTAGTACGGTGGTAGTACAACGCCGATAGTGCACTTATCGATCCATTTGACTCGAGATCGATTCCAGATAAATAACACACTTACTCATTAATAATGCAATACATCTCCATCTATAAACCATAGATGTTGCGTCATCTTCCTGTTGATCTCTCGATTTTCGAGAGATTGTCGGTCCAAAGTTTATATATATATATATATAAAAGTAAAATTTTACGTAGGAAAACAAATTTAAATTCTGCGACACGATGGTGGAACACGTAATGCCAGTTCGGTATGTCAGCGTGGAGGACGAATGCAAACGGAATCCGGAGTTGAGGATGTCGGATTTGCAAATGTTGAAAGACTGGATGGACAAACAGCCGCATCTGCCGGACATACCCATACTCTATATCGTTATGTTCTTACACAGCAATTACTATCGTATAGAGCCAACCAAGACCACGATAGAGAACTTTTTCACCGTGAGGACGCACATGCCGGAAGTGTTCTCCAATAGAGATCCAGTCGCGTGGAAGGAATTGCGTAAGGCCTTCAACGTCGCGTAAGTTCAGGTTTCGCTCAGATTTCATCATAGGTTGCTCGCGATTCGCCCGATCGAAAATCACGAAAATGTCCAAGTCACAACAAAATCTAACGTATTGTATATATATAACGTATTGTATATCTCTCTCGTTAACAGAGCGATCTTTCCGTTGAAGGAAAGAACCAAGGAGGGTTACATAATGACTCTCGGCAAATTTCTGAACACAAACCCGAGTCATTTCAACTGTGCCGAATGTCTCAAGTACCTTTTCATGACATGCGAAGTGCAAAATGTGATGAAGGGCACCAGCCACGGGCTGGTTATCATCTTGGACGCTACGGGACTCACCCTAGGCCACATTGGCCGCATGAATTTGATGATACTGAAAAAGATATTGTTCTTCATACAAGAAGGTGCTCCGGTTCGACTGAAGGCGCTCCATGTGTTAAACGTCATGCCTGCAGTGGAAACATTAATGAATATGCTCAGACCTTTCGTAAAAACGGAATTGCTAAGTATTGTGAGTCTTGAGACTCGCTTGGAGTTGATATTCTTTCGTTTGTTCACCTTGTTACTCCTCCTATTCGATCCACATTACATATGTGGATCGAATAGATTCGAGATTCGCACCTTAGCCCTTTTGTACTTTCAGATACATTTTCACTCGAATATAGAGAGCGCAAAGAAATTTTTCCCCATCGAGGCCTTGCCGAACGAAATGAGCGGCCGAGCAGGACCTATCAATGATATGGTTGACGAGCATATAAAATTACTGGAGGAATTTCGAGCGTGGTTTCAACACGACGAGAAGATCGGACGGGTGAACGAGTCTTTGCGAGTCGGCAAATTTCAGGCGGGGGACGGCCTGTTCGGCATGGACGGTAGCTTTAAGAAGCTCGAAATAGACTAAATCGGCACAAAGTGACGTAGAGTGTCGCACACTATACTCTAATATCCATTGTTTCATGGTTCTCTTAACAAATTACTCATAAGTTTTGCCCATGGATCACGCGGCTTTACGCGGAGACCAGAAGGCAGAGGAGGATGTGTTATGTAACGGTAGAGTTCAATATTTCTCCTATGTAATATAAATATTAGTCTTGTCGCATGGCTGGCGTGCGTGTGCAATTGTTCGGATGCCAATAATAATTGTCACACGATTAAGCACTGCTACCGACGATATTGTATTATTACTTCTTGTTATCCGCCAGATTATGCGTTCGTAAGATTTAATGAAGTATTTCTTCGCGGTTCTTTTGTGTGCCGTAAAGATGCGCCACGGGGGCACCTTACCGCACGTGCACGGTTGACGGTCACGGTCGCAACGTTATCATTTCGCGCATGCTATTCCAATGACGATTAGTTTACAACGCAAATTAGACACTCGTATATAAAGCTGAAGGAGTGAAGAGGCGCGTCCGACAGTGCTCGCCAGTTCTCTGTACTGTTCGGTACCCAGTATCCTTACCCTTGACAAAAACCAGGAAAACAAAAAAGGGAATAAAGGAAAAAAAGAGGGAAAAAAAGATCGCGTTAAAAATACCTTTCGAATACCGTCCGCAAGAAGCGATTCGAACGAAAGTGATTTCTCACACACAATAAATAAGGTGATTATTAATATATGTATAACATATTACTCTTGGCATTTAATAATATCAATTGATTTAATATCAATTGATGTTAAATAATAATCAAACCGCATTGACTTCTGCATTAACTTCTGTATTAATTGGTAATTCGGAACATAACGACAGCGAGTATGATATAAGTGAGAGAGTTGACATTTATATAAATAAATCAACTTAGATTACCTTGGTACGAAGAAAGAGATAAACTACGTAATACGAATCAAATTACCAATGTAATGCAACCTGATCTTGCTCTAAATTAATATATCAAAATTTACGATCTGTTTTTGACAGTACTTTCCGTCGTTAGGCAAAGTATGCATCATTGGACTTTCACACAATAGAAAGAAAACCATGGATTGTTAAATCTTGCATAAGATGAATAATTTCGTAGACATAATATATACGAGATTGCATTTGCAAAAATGAAAATATATCTTACTTCTATAATATCAATTAATTTCGAGGATATAACAGATATATACGTATATTATTATTACGAGTAAAACTTATAACTATAATAAAACTCTGCAACACTTTTCTTCCTATTTTTGAAGGCCGAATCGATTGGGTATAAAAAAAACCTCGATCGGTTCAGCCATTGCTGAGATATGAAAATCTCACCTCATTTCAACTCGGAGTTTCGCGTATAATAGGCACGGTGTGCCTCTTGATAAATTCTGCAATTTTTTAATTATATATTCAAAGAATGATTAAATGTTTCTTTTAATACCAAATAGCCGAATGTAATTGACCGAATCAAATAATTATTTGACATATGACTCAACCGTATAGCCGAGCAAATAATAATAATATATAGACTATCTTGAATAATCATTAATTAGAAAATTTCATAGAATCCGAAGGCCTAGCGCCATTTACGCATTATTATACGAGTCGACTCGTCTATCGCTATTAAGTTAATAAGAGGGAAGTGAATGTTTATGCACGAAAGCGTATTCTTAAAAAGAAAAAAGAAAAAAAACAGGTTAAAGGTTTTTCTAGTTTTACAAGTAAGTTTCACCCATTTTTACACAAGGCATTTAAAAAGTTTCAAATAATGTATTAATTTAGCTGCTTGTCACTTTTATACAAGATTAAAATTGATATATCTGAATTATATAATTTGGACCTAACCTTGCTCTCTGTGTATATTTTACTGCCTTAAATTGAAAAACATGACTAATCTCTCTTAAGTCGTACCTATTGATCGTCCATCTTGTACCGTTGTATATAATCTACAAATTTAGGAAGTAAAACTACATCTGTTATTATTGTTTATTGTTGTATTTAAAATCTATAGAAAGCTTTCCAGTGAGAAAATGATTCGTCGATCGATGTTGAAACAATGTCGAATCGACGTCGAAATCGTCAAATCTACGTACGATTCGACCTCGTTTCGACGTCGATCGACGAATCATTTCTCACTGGCTTTCTTCCTTTGTGTTATCTAAATTTATTTTTTGGAAAATACATTTTTGTTCAATTTGTTGTTTTTCATAGTTAAGTTTTCAAAAACGAAAGTTAGTTCGCGTTAAACGATATTTTATTTTTGTAATTTCAATTTCGAGGATGTAATAAATAAATTCTGCAATTTTTAGTTACATGCTGAAAGAATAATTTTATAAATAAAAGAAAAGACGACCTTCATATAAAATAAACTTGATAAATAAAGTAGATATAATCTTAATAATTATTTTAATAAGTAATTTTAATGTTTGCTTTTGGTTAAAAAGTTTTCTTCAGTTCTTCATACAAGCTGTGAATTTAATTAATTCCTTCTTAGTTGAGTTTCTAGAGACAAAAATATTTTATTTTTGCAATTGTAATATCTATTTTTTTATTCAAAAGATATCTTTTTAGCTTTTTTATACAAACTGTAATTTCAATTAAACATGTATTTATTTAAATTGTTTATATCTTATTTTTATTCTTTCGCAGTTTTTAAATTAATCACATTGCTATGATAATCGGATATCGGATCGGAATGAAAGAAATACGGCACAATTTTGGAAACCTCATAGTACAATTTAAGCAACCAATTGCCAAAATTGCCAAACCACTTGCGTCTTTAAGAGAGACCTGCGTAAAAGATCTGCGTAAAAGAAGATATTGTTGTACAAAATATCTTAAAGAATTATGGGATATCATCGACAGATTAAAGATAACTTGCAATTAGTTTTTATTCTATTTCTATGAAATATTCGCAAATTATTTGAAAAAGAAAGAAAAAATTGAAAACTGGCCACCAGCCAATATAGGCAACCTTCCCTTATCTGTACGTACATACATATGTGTGTATACCTATATATATGCATATACGTAGGCAGTATGAAAAGTTCTCGACCTGACACATATATGGCATTAGAAACTGTCAAACTATAATTGTATTGGAAAGTTTATATCCCTGATATAAACCCATGTAAAATTTTATTCGATCTGTCAAGTCATTCGAGTAGTAGCACAAGTTGAAAAAGCTTTATGCAAGATGGGTGCCGCATTTGCTAACAATTGACGAAAAACGCATTCGAATGCGTATTTCTTCATAGAAATAGAAGCGTGTTTGGCAAATTTTAATCGTTTTAAGCAAAATAAAATGGATTTCAAGCGTCGTTTCATAACTGTTGATGAAATCCATCACTTGAATCCACCACTATAAACCAGAGCGAAAAGAACCTTCCGAAATCACACCCTAACGAATAACGGCTGCGTCTATTTTGTCGATGCTAGCGGGCTGTCTTTCGGTCATCCTGCTCGAATTAATCCAATGGGGCTGAAGAAATATTTATATTTATTATATACGGGAAGCGGCCCCGATACGCTTGAAGGGGATTCATGCTTTATAAACGCGCCGCCCGCCATCAGGAGATGCTCATGAATATGATGAGACCTCTTATGAAAAAGGAGATGATAGACATGGTAAACATCACAATGATTAGCAATCGAGTTCAATGTTCATCGAGTTCATCAGTTTTGATTCCTTCCACTGCATTGCAGTTAGTACGTATTGGGAGTACAAATTAGTTCGGTCCGTTTTTTTTGTTAAAAGATGTATTTATTTCAAAACAAAATGAATGAACAGATCAATTAAAGTATTTTCCATCGCTGGCTACTACTTTCTCCCATTTCTCAGGCAATTTTCGAATTCCATCTCGAAAAAGTGACTCGTCTTTTGAGGCGATCCAAGTTTGGAGCCAATTTTCAATAGCTGCGAAAAAAGTGAACCGGTGACCTGCCAAATCGTGCTGCATCCTTCGGAACAACCAGTAATCAAAAGAAGCAATGTCCGGAGAATACGGCGGGTGCGGTAAAACATCCCATTTGAGCGTTTCCAAATATTTTTTTACGACTTTTGCGACATGAGGCCGAGCGTTGTCATGAAGAACCCCTTTCAACGTCTGTCGGTTTCAGTTTATAAGGCACTTTTTTCCTTGTTTTCCTTGTTTTTGAATAATTCCCATGTCTCTCAATCGTACGGAAACGGCTTGTTGAGTCACTCCCAATGATTCTGCAAGCTCCTCTTGCGTTTGAATCTGATCTTCTTCGAGTAATGCCTCTAATTCTTTGTCCTCGAATTTTTTGGCTGTCCAGAGCGAGGCTTGTCTTCGACGCTGAAATCTCCATCCTTGAAACGTCGAAACCATTCCCTACATGATTTATCAGTTGAAGCAGCGTCACCATAAACCTCAACAAGCATTCGATGGGCTTCAGCTGCACTTTTCTTCCAATTAAAGCAGAAAATTAAAACCTCCCGCAAATGCTGCTCGGTTAACACAAAATTCGACATTTTCAACAAGCAAGGTTTTTATATGTAAAAAGCAAGGTTTTTATATGTAAAAAGCAAGGTTTTTGTATGAAATTCAAAGCGATATAAATTGAATATTATTGGCAGATGTCTAACCTCTCTGAAACCGCCAAAATCTGCAGTCACTATGAACCATTCACAACAGCCGGAGCCATCTTTTGAAAACGGACCGAACTAATTTATACACTCAATAATAGTCAGAAATGACGATAATTTAAAAAAAAAAAAGCGTTTACTTTTGACGATACGTAATAATGTTCAAATAATGTGCTTATTATTTTGTTCCTTGCTCCTGAGATACAAAGGATCTTCTTTAAGAATATTTAGGAAGATAAGAGACGAGATTTCAGAAGAGATTTAACAGAATCTAGAATCTTGGTTAGTGTTTAGAAGATTGTCTCTTCAACATTTGCGTGTCAACTTCGCGTCACGAGTCACGTCAGTACAACATAACATCAACGAGTGCAACTTTTTATATACATATATATTGCGGACACAATTGGCAATATAACCTATGATAATCATCATCCGTTTCTCATTGTCACGAATAAAGGTGAAAACTTTCGCGTATCCACTTCGTGCCTCGCGTTAAACGTGTAACATTACTGAAATTCTGAAATCGCATGAGTTATACTCACCCGCCCTCCTCCCCCAATGTCTCACTTCCACATTTCTCACTTGCATTTTTCTCTCTTCCTTGACTCACTTAGATACATTTTCACTCATCGTTGGAAAGCGCATCCAAATACGTTTCGGTGAATGAGCTGCGGTGAATGAAGCGGGCGGAAAGGCTGGTTCTATGTACGAGCTGGCCCAGATTCAAATAAAGAAGCTCGAAGAGTATCGCGAGTGGTTTCTAATGGACGAAACGAACGGACGTGTAGACGTGAAGCGAAACGACTTGGTAAGAGTAAGTCGGCGAGCGACTTGTTTGGTGTGGACGGCAGCTTTAAGAAACTCGAAATTGACTGACGCAGACTTATTCATCCGGTATGCAATTATAACTATATAATCCATAATCGCAACTTCTTCGCCAGTTGTAATATGTTTCTCATGTTCTCCGTGTGTACCTCGCATATTACAATGTCATTTCTGATGAGTCATATTAGCATTAGCATCTAGCATTATGCAAGAAAGAAACGAGCGTTCAAAGAACAAGACCCCTTACGTAAGAAGGTCGCGGTAGTAGAAATACATTAACATTTCCTGTACTGCTTATATAAAAAGTATCTTATAAAATTGCATTATACAAAATGTCCGATTAATGAATTATTTATATATGAAGCTGTACTAAAATAGAATAATTACGAGTAGACAGCATTGGAAATTGGAAGATTTCACTGAATAAATACTTCCTTGATATTGCCTACAACAGCCTGTTCTTTAATCTGATCCACGAGTTTATAATTAAAAATATAACTGAAAATCCTATGTGACACGTTTTGTATACAAAATGTCTAAAATAAAGTACAAATCGAATCATATAAAGCAAAGGTAGCAAGTGTCTTTACAGCGACTTTCAAACAGCTCTCCCCATTTTGATTAAATAAATTATTTTTACTTTACATCAATATCTTTATCAACATTTGATTCTCATCAATAGGGAAGAATTAATCCGTCGACTGTTGACCGAAAATATTTTAGATAATTACATGACGCGCAAAAATATTTAAATTTTCTACAACCTAGAGACCGATATTACTGGACGTTTTTAAATATATCTCTGCATTTCGAACTTATTAGATAGACTTGTTGCCGACACAAAAGAGGCATAGAAATATATCCTTCTGTCCAATACATCTAGACAGACCTGCACACACTGCACACTTTTCACTCCGTCATTCGCGGAGAGATCCATAAATCGAACGGGAAAAACAATCTCGTCGTCTGCCTCGCCAGCATTTAATATAAAATGTTCCAGACATAGCAGTGTCAGACATAGTGGTGACGACGATGGTAGTATATCGTGAACATCGAAACAAGACGTGTTTCTGACACAGCGAGTCTCCAAGAAATCCTCCTTTTCAAGAAGGAATTTGTCGGCTATCGCACAGAATTATTTACACTCCCAACATGCAGATTAAAAATATATAATTTAAAAATATCGTTCGTTGCTTTTCATCAAAGCGAATAATTAAAAATCGAGAAATTTGTTAGGTTAAACGCTCGTCTGAGACAGTGAATAAAGTAGATCAGTCTTCTGATTGTGAATGGAGAGGAAGCTTTATAGAAAACAAAAGTACAATGTCATCCATAAAACTCACAACCTTCGAAGAAGAGCTGAAGAAGAATCCGGAGCTGAAAATATCAGATATACAGACTCTGAGGGAATGGTGCGAGAAACAACCGCATTTGCCAAAGATTCAGGACGTGGAACTCGCCATATTTTTGCACAGCAATTATTATCATATAGAGCCGACAAAAAGCACAATCGAGAATTATTACACTTATAGGACTCACGCACCGGAATTATTCTCCAACAGAGACATGCGGAAGATGCAACAACTACGAGATGTTTTTAAAGTCGCGTAAGCATAGTTCCTTGATATTGACCATTGAATAACTTGAATAGACGCATACGCGATATACGTATTATACGCATAAAGGCATTATATAGTCTAGTAAATTCATTCGGTGAAATTTCAACTATTCTAATTTTAAAAAGTTAGAACGCCGATAAGAAGCGATAACAGAGCAAGTATGCTGCAATTATGTCAGGTAGGCAACATATGTATGGTACAAGGTCATTCATTACTTATTCATTGGTTAACGGCATCAACGGAATATGGTGCACATGGTGTGTGTGTGTGTGTGTGTGTGTGCGCGCGCGCGCATTAGTGTGTGCGCGCGCGCGCATGTGTATCATGCATATTAATACAATGAAATATAATAAAACTAAAATTTACGCAAGGATAATGCACGTTACATTCCATTCAGTCAAACCGCATTGTTTAGACATCACATTTTTTTAGGCATAACAGATAAATTTCTAGATAATTTATTAATGGCACTACATACCTGCTCTGTCAGTTTCAATCGTAGATAGAAACATTTGTATTATATATTCTTATGCAGTCATAATAGCAAGTGATTTAAATTTTTTCAAAAAATTTGATAAATTAAATCATTCTTGTTCAAAAAGGGCCCAGTTACAACTAGAACACACGACCAAAGAGGAGTATAGAATAATGATAGGATGTCTGGTCGATCTGGATCCTTCGCATTTTTTCTTCAATGAATTGTTAAACGTCGGTCTTATGACGCATGATGAATTTGTTTGGACTCATGGATCAACGCCAGGACAGATCTTTGTCGTTGATGCTACGGGAATTACAATTGGACATGTAGGGCGTTTAAACATAGCATCAATAAAAAAAGGACTACGCTACCTTCAAGATGCCATGCCAATACGCTTGAAAGAGGTCCATGTAATAAATACGTCGCCAGTTGTCGAAATAATATACAATATGACCAAACCTTTCTTGGACAAGGAATTAGTAAAATTGGTAAAATTACTTCAACAAATTATTCTTCCAACAAATTATTTATCCTCGACAAAACTCTCGTCGTTCAGACGGTCTTCTGCTATCCCTGAATAGAATGAGAGAAATGCGCTTTTGAAGTTTTTCAATAAGTTTGTAAGAACTTTGACAAAAAAAGGTACAATCCAAGGTACAATGTCCCTACAGTCAAGTACACAATCCAATTTTTTTCGTTTCCTGGGATGATTCGCATTCGAAAGAAAGCGATCAGTAGATTATTAAACAACATTATACTCGTCATACTTATAAAAGCACATCAGTTTCTCCGCAAACCCTGCGCAAAAATTCCTAACAAACTTATCGAATAACCTAATCTATCTAGAAAATTACGTCACAGGAATAGAGAAGTTAATAAAGGAACTGAATTAAATTCCTGAATCGACGTCATTCTAAACTAACGCAGAGTTTACACAAAATCTTCAAAATCCTACAAGAAATTCTGCCGGGTGAGAAATATATGTTACTGATTGATGCCTCTGTCGCAGATACATTTTCACGCATCATTGGAAAGCGTGAGTGAACACTTTCCGATAGAAGTATTGCCCAATGAGCTTGGTGGGAAAGGAGGTGCGTTGCAGGAGTTGATGGACGCGCAGTTCAAAAGGATCGAAAACTTTCGCGAGTGGTTCCTAGAGGACGAAAAAAATAATCGGGTGAACGAGTCACTGCGGATTGGCAAAAGCAAGACATCTGGTGATCTCTTTGGGGTGGACGGTAATTTCAGAAAAATAGAAATCGACTGATTCGATCTTACAACACGTAAGTATCATACAGCATCAAATCAATGAGAGATTCAAAGAATGGGATTGGTACGAAGAAACGAACGGATGTGTGAACGAACGACTTGGCAAAAGCAAGTCGGCGAGCGACTTGTTTGGTGTGGGGGGCAGCTTTAAGAAACTCGAAATTGACTGACGCAGACTTATTCATGCGGTATGCAATTGTATGTATATAATCCATAATCACGACTTCTTCGCCAGATGGACCATAGTATTTCTCATGATCCGTGTGATCTGCTCTTCGCATATTGCACTGTTTTTTCTGACAAGTTACAATACACTATTCTAGTATTAATCAGAAAACAAATAAGCGTTGAAGGACAAGATATCTTAGGTAAGAAAGTCGCGGTGTTGAAAAACATCGACGTCTCTTATGCTGCACATATAAAGCGACTTATACTAAACAGGTTATACAAAACGTCCGATTAATATCGAGCGTAAGAAGGCGGCATTGGAAGTTGGAAGGCTTCGCTGAATAAATATTTTCTTGATGTTACCTTCAACAGAATGTTCTTTAATTTGATCCATGAGTTTATAACTGAACATATAACTGAAAATCTCATGTGACACATTTTATATATAAAATGTCTAATAAAATATAAATCAAATTAAATAAAGCAAGGTGGCAAATGTTTCCATAGCGGTTTTCAAGCAAGTCCTCCCAATTTGATTAAATAGATTATTTTTATTTTACGTTAATAACTTTATCAATGTTTGATTTTCATCAATAGGGCAGAATTGACCGAATATACCATATTTTGACCGAAAATGTTTTAGAAAATATTTTAGAAAATGTTTTAAAAAATGGCGTGACGCGCAACGATATTTAAATTTTCTAGAGTTTAGAGGCTGAAATAATTGCATGTCTTAAAAATATCACTGCATCTCGAGCTTATGAGATAAATTTGTTGCCGATATAAAAGTACATAGAGATGTATCTCTCTCTTCAATGTATCTAGGTGGACTTGACAAAAGCAATTTCGTGATTACAACACATAACAATAACCCATTTCACCAATGTCTTAGTTTAAACGCATCCCAAGTTTCTACGTCTACACACACACACACACACACACACACACACACACACACACACACACACGCACACACACGCACACACGCACACACGCACACACGCACACGCAAGCACACTGCACTTATCACTTCACCACTCGTGGATTCATAAATTAGAAGGGAAAAATCAATCGTGCCGTATGCCTCGTCAGCATTTGATATAAAATGTTCTGTCGTCAGACGTAGCGATGATGAGGTAGTATATCGTAAACATCGCGACAAGATGGTCCGTCATAACATGTTACTTTTTTCAAAAAGGAATTTATCGGCTATCGAACAGATTTATTTGCACTTCCAACATGTAGTTTAACAATATGTAATTTAAAACTAGCGTTCGTTGCTTTTCATCAAAGCGCATAATTAAAAATAAGGAAATTTGATAGATAAATGTTCTTCTAAAGCAGTGAATGACGCAGATCAGTCTTATGATTGTGAAGGAAGAAAAAGGTTTTGCAGAAAATAAAAATTCCAAGTCTGCTATGTCTGGTCGATACGGATCCTTTGCATTTCTTACACAATGATTGATTGATAAACGTCGATCTTATGGCGTATGATGAATTTTGTTGGGCTCATGGCTAGGACAAATCGATGTCATTGATGCTACGGGAGTTACAATTGGACATGTAGGGCGTTTAAACCTGGTATCATTAAAAAAAGTACTACACTACGTACAAGATGCCATCCCAGTACGCTTGAAAGCGATCCATAAGCGATAACATCGATACATCGCCAGTTTTCGAAATAATATACAACATGGTCATACCTTTCTTGGATAAAGAATTGATAAATTTGGTAAAATTACTTCAACAAATTATTTATCCTCGGCAACATTATCGTTCTGACGGTCCTCTGCTGCTCCCGAATAGAATAAGTGGGACGCGATATTGAAGTTTTTCAATAGGTTTGTAAGAATTTTGTCGAATGAAAAGACTGCAAGGCACAATGTCCCCACAGTCAAGTACACAATCTTGTTTTCTGTCGTTTCCTTCGATGACTCGCCATCGAAAGCAAGCGATCGGTAGATTATTAACCCGGCGTCGTTGTGGTGATAAAATGTTACACGCACACGTTGGGGCGGGTCATGATGATCCGATTATTGTTTGGTCCACCCTCGCAGTGTCTACTCTGGTTTCGGGAAGCTACATAGTAACTTTTATGGAACAGTAGTCTCTTAATACAGGTAGTTTGATGAAATATTTAATTTAAGCTTTAAAAACGCCATGACCCAGCCTCAGTGACGCCGGGTTAAACAACATTACACTTGCTATGCTTAGAAAAGCACATCAGCTTTGAACTCTCCGCCAAAATCCTAACAAACTTATCGAATAACCTAATCCATCTAAGAAATTACGTCACAGCAGTAGAGAAGATTGAATTAAATTCTGGAATCGACGTCATTCTAAATTAGCGCAGAGTTTACACATCAAAATCTTCCTAAGAATTCTGTCGAATAAGAAATATATGTTACTGACTGATGCCTCTGTCGCAGATACATTTTCACGCATCATTGGAAAGCGTGAGTGAACACTTTCCGATAGAAGTATTGCCCAATGAGCTTGGTGGGAAAGGAGGTGCGTTGCAGGAGTTGATGGACGCGCAGTTCAAAAGGATCGAAAACTTTCGCGAGTGGTTCCTAGAGGACGAAAAAAATAATCGGGTGAACGAGTCACTGCGGACCAGCGAAAGCAAGACATCTGACGATCTGTTCGGGGTGGACGATAATTTCAAGAAAATAGAAATCGATTGAATCGACCTTACAATACGCAAGTACCTTATAGTATCAAAACAATGACAAATTCAAAGAAAGGAGTTTTTGGAAATGTCTCTTTTGATCATCAATTTCTTTAACCACTTGCGCTGGAAAGACGTGCCACGCACGTCGTAATGCTTTTGTCACAGAATCGCCAACGACGTGGTATGTACGTCGTCATGCGATTGTCACAGAAACAAAAACGACGTGCGTGGCACGTCGGGTGGGATTGTTTGCCAGACACAAATGCCAAAAAGAATCCACAGCGAAGGTGTAGAGTGTGTACCAAACACAAAAAACGAAGTGAAACTATATGGGAATGTAAGAAATGCCTTGTACCATTACATGTTCCAGACTGTTTCGAGAGATACCACACTTTGCATGATTATTAATAAATAAATTAAATATTTATATTTGTATAATTTTATAATCAATCGACGCTCTATATTCCCTTCAAAAAGCTATTAAAAGTCCTAGGTCGAAAATAAATTAGTTTAGAAAATATAAATCTTTTTCCGATTTCTGTAAGGCATCGAACACTGTGTGACGCCTCTCAACGAGTTACACTGGACCGTTCTGATACAGGCGTCAGTGAATTTTTTGCCAGCGCAAGTGGTTAAAAAAGTAATCTATCTCATAAGGTATCATAAGAACATTAAGACGTTGAGTAGCAATCACCGCAGCTCGATACATTCGTGTCTTAGTAAGATACCTATAGAATATAATTAATTATATTCTGTGAGTCTAAAAAAACTGATCATAAACTGTCCGCAGAAACAGGGCATGAAACGAGAAGAAGAATGTATACATTTCGAATTATCTATTTACGAATTATCGAATTATAATATCTATTATACCATACTATAAGTTGACTTTTCCTTTCTATAATGAAAGTCGCCGCAGCGACATCTACATAATAAATGTATTATATAATGAGCAAAGTATTAAAGATGGCGAACAATAAAATAGGTATTTTAACAATTATTGCAATAATTATTGTTACAAAATTATATTCATGCGAAATATATGCATATTTCTGCCGTGATTTCAATTGAAATCTTAAATGTTGTTTCCTTTCGCGGCAAATGCTCTAATAATTGCACCATGTGTATTATATTTGGGTGCAGGATATTCGTTGGTAGCTCATGTAGCCATAGCCAATGAATGCATAGAACTGATTGAGATAAAGAAAATAATCAAGTGGCATTTTGCAAAAATCGTAAAAAAATAGCCGAGCAACACATGGAAAAACATCGGATGGAATAGCAAATTTCAAATGCGCAGCAAGGAGAAAGAAGGGTCGCAGCTAGGCTGTTGCTAGGCGAAGTGAGCAGCTACTAACTCGAGTGGTCGAGCGCGACGCATGCTAAGGCTACATGAATTACCAAATACCCTGTATACGTATCATAAGTTAAGGGTTGTGTAATTTTGTGGTCTAAGGCTTTTCGAAATTTAATGATATTTTATTGCTTATAGCTAGTAAAAAAAGCATACTGATATGTTGATATTAATGCCTTATATTGGGAGTACAAATTAGTTCGGTCCGTTTTTTGTGTTAAAAGATGTATTTATTTCAAAACAAAATGAATGAACAGATCAATTAAAGTATTTTCCATCGCTGGCTACTACTTTCTCCCATTTCTCAGGCAATTTTCGAATTCCATCTCGGAAAAATGACTCGTCTTTTGAGGCGATTCAAGTTTGGAGCCAATTTTCGATTTCTGCGAAAGAAATGAACCGGTGACCTGCCAAATCGTACTGCATCCTTCGGAACAACCAGTAATCAGAAGGAGCAATGTCCGTGGAATACGGCGGGTGCGGTAAAACATCCCATTTCCAAATATTTTTTTATGACTTTTGCGACATTAGGCCGAGCGTTGTCATGAAGAAGAATAACTTTATCATGTCTTTGCTCGTATTCCGGCCGTTTTTCTCGCAATGCACGGCTCAAACGAATCAATTGTAGCCGATACCCGATCGCCCGTAATGGGATCTCCAGGTTTCAGCAGCTCATAGTAAACAACACCCTTTTGGTCCCACCAGATACAGAGCATGATCTTCGAACCATGTATGTTCGGCTCTGGTGTTGATGTTGAGGTCGATGGCAACAATTGACCGGGCTTGGCGTAGTATTTTTCTTCTTGGGGTTGTCGTAGAATATCCACTTCTCATCCCCAGTTACAATCCGATGCAAGAAGCCTTTTCTTTGTTGCCTTTAAATCAGCTGCTCGCAAGTGAAAAATCTCCTTTCAACGTCTCTCGGTTTCAGTTTATAAGGCACTCAGTTTTCTTGTTTTTGAATAAATCCCATGTCTCTCAATCGTACGGGAACGGCTTGTTGAGTCACTCCCAATGATTCTGCAAGCTCCTCTTGCGTTTAACTCTGATCTTCTTCGAGTAATGCCTCTAATTCTTTGTCCTCGAATTTTTTGGCTGTCCAGAGCGAGGCTTGTCTTCGACGCTGAAATCTCCATCCTTGAAACGTCGAAACCATTCCCTACATGATTTATCAGTTGAAGCAGCGTCACCATAAACCTCAACAAGCATTCGATGGGCTTCAGCTGCACTTTTCTTCCAATTAAAGCAGAAAATTAAAACCTCCCGCAAATGCTGCTCGGTTAACACAAAATTCGACATTTTCAACAAGCAAGGTTTTTATATGTAAAAAGCAAGGTTTTTGTATGAAATTCAAAGCGATATAAATTGAATATTATTGGCAGATGTCTAACCTCTCTGAAACCGCCAAAATCGGCAGTCACTATGAACCATTCATAACAGCTGGAGCCATCTTTTGAAAACGGACCGAACTAATTTGTACACCCAATACAATGATTGCTTTGACTACAGTTCCCTAGATGGCTGCCTCGGACATTTTCTTCAGCATCTGCGTCAGAATCAATTCAAGGAATAAATTTGCTATCGATATAAAAACATACACAAAGAAGCATCTCCTTTCTACACCGAATCGACCGGATAAAGTCACTTAGATGATAACTTTTTTTATATAAAAGAAATTAAGGAAATGGAATTTTCCTTACACACATCTTGAGCAAAACTAATGCGTATTATTAAAATCATGTGCCAGAGAATAGAGGACACACGTGCACGTACGTCACATGTGCTACTAATATGAAATTTTGTTTCTTTCGCAAATTCATCAGTTCTACATCAATTCTACATAAAGTGATATTAAGATGTTAATTGTGCAAAAACAGTTTCAAGGAAAAACAGCTTGAAAAAGAATCAGTAATGGTAATATATGATATGCAAATTTGTGCAAAATAAGTTTTGAGAGAAGGATCTTACAGTCAAGATTAATGCGGTCGATATGTTGTAGCAAACAGTAGACTATAGACGACGAAACGATACGGTTATCTGATATGGTAGATTTCTTTTCTTTTAGAAAAAGAATTGTCACGCTCATCACAAACTGATTACAGCGCTATAACTGCAATTAATGGTTACAATTTAACAGTGTCAATAAGTTTTTACCAAGCTTTAGATTAAATTTGCAATAGCGAAGCGAGAGAGAGAGAGAGTGAGAGAGTGAGAGAGAGAGAGAGAGAGAGAGAGAGAGAGAGAGAGAGAGAGAGAGAGAGAGAGAGAGAGAGAGAGAGAGAGAGAGAGAGATTAATAGAAAATACCAGTCCTAAGTGTGATGTCTTCCACAATGTGCATTACTCTCCAAGAGGAACTGAAGAAAAATTCACAACTAAAAATGTCGGACACACAAATTCTAAGAGAATGATGCGAGAAACAACAGCATCTGCCAAAAATTCAGGACGTGGAACTCGCCATATTTTTGCACAAAAATAAATATCGCATGGAGCACAATCGAGAATTACTACACTTGTAGAACTCACTTGCCGAAATTATTCTCCAACAGAGACATATGGAAGATGAAACGACTACAAGATACCATTAAAATCGGATAAATATAAAGTCTCTCTCGATACTTACAGCAAGTAAGCAGCATATACAGTCTGTAAAGTAAGAGCGTGCACGGCATAAATGGCAGTTGGCTTCAAATATCGTCCTAGTTTTTTTGTGAGCCGATAGATGAAATCTTTGTCGTGAATGCTTTGTCACAAAAGATTCAGTTGGCGTCGAACTCTAACTTGAGAAACACGTTAACCATGCGCCATGAGTGCCGCATACGCATCGCGCTACGAGGCTGTGTTCCTTGGTTCCCACCCCAAAGGACCAAAAATGTCATATGCAGTGGCTGCTAAATACATGGGAAAGTCAAATTCGTTCGTCGCTAAGTGAGTTCAGCGATATAAGAAGATCAAAAATGTCGATGACTTGTCAGAACGTGGCTCGATAGGCAAAGTGACGCCGAATATGGAAAAAAGAATTGTGAATTTGTTTAAGCGGAACCCGACCTTAATGCTTAAAATTTATGAGAAGTGTTTGTTGCCGACTGCTGAACGATGCTTCATAAAAAAAAAAGAGGACTGGATCTTACAGGAAGAGACAACGACCCGAAACACCGGAGCAAGCTTTGCACCGAGTGGAAAGAGCAGTCTGGCATCGTCACACTTGATTGGCCATCGCAGTCGCCAGATGCAAATCCCATTGAAAATGTGTGGGCATATCTCAAGCACAAGCTTCGAGGAAAAAGAGTGTGCACTTTGAAGCAGCTGACACGACAAATTCGTCTCATTTGGAGGTCTTTACCGAACGAATACGCAGTCGACTTAGTGGAAAGTATGCCTCGGCAGATGCCAGGCAATTATCAATGCCAGTGGACTGGACTCATTATTAATGGTATAACATTTTTCTTCTCATGGAGTACAACAAATCTATGTACTTAAAAATCATTAAAAATAAATTTTTCTACACATTAACCCGTGCACGCTCTTACTTTACAAACTGTATATGCATACTTTTTGAATACATACATATGTGATTTATTATGTGCATAAACGCATTGTATACGTAGCTTCGTTATTTTAATTCTGTCAGTACGATTTCACTGTTTACTATTCTTCTTTTGAGAAATCAAAAAGCGTTCAAGCTTGACGAATACAGACGGTCTTTTCCAAACAGATTAATAGTCACGTGTGTACCATTTTACAAATTATTAAACCTGATTTAAGAATAATTATTTGTGTAAAAGAAATATTTTTTCAGCAATTTTATTAATAGTAATTTATTAACCCGCTGTCAGTTTTAATTTCCAGCACATTAATTATTAACATTAACTAACAATTACATTCTTATTCACGATTATAATTATGTAGTTCAAATTCTCGTGAAAGATTTCATAAGTAACGCCTTATTCTTGTTGAAAAAAAGGGTCGTAGTTCAACTGGAAGATAAAACAAAGGAGAGATATAACATAACTATCACGATATATCGATCCGGATTTTTCGCATGGATTGATCGACGAAATGCTAAAAATTTTTTTTATGGTATGCGACGAATCCCTTTGGACTCAGGGATTAACGCCGGGATATATTCTTGTTTCTGATGCTACAGGCATCTGAATGGAACATGTTAAGCATATAAACCTGGCGACAATAAAGAAAATGTTGTACTACGTCCAAAATGCCATACCAGTAGGCTTGAAAGGAATCCGCATAATATAGTAAATACATCGACAATCGTCGATATATTATTTAGCCTGGTGAAACCTTTTATAGTTGAGAAAGAGGAAGAAATTGGTAAAATCACGTGAGATTTTTCAAACAAATTCTTTATTCGAAACAAACAATGATCCAATTTACTGCCATTCACAGAGAAAGGGCAGAAGCGACAGATTACTAGAAAATTAAATCGCAACAAATACTATCGTACTAAACGACAATAAATATTACATTAGATTAGCAGCATTTTTCTATTACAATGTCGCAAGGAATTCTGTTAAAAGTGTGAAAAATCTGCGATATTGAGCAGTGCCTTTACTTTCAGATATATTTTCACCCGTCGTTGGAAAGTGCGAAGGAGTACTTTCCGATAAAAATATTACCCAGCGAGTATGAGGTGGAAAAGCAGGACCGATAGAGAAACTTAAGGATGTGCAATTACAAAAAATCAAGAACTTTCGCGAAT